TAATCTGGTATTCCCAGCCATACATCACAGCTCTGCAGCTCAGTCGAGCTCCGGTCCTGGTATAAAGGTCACTAGCTGCAGGCTGTCCGTCTGTCTGCGTGCATCGCTCTCTGTTCTCTGCGTCTTGAATGCCTAAATAAGAAAGGTTAGTCGAAGCAGCTGCTCTTGCCTGAAAGGTCATGAGAGGAAGTTGACAAGATATATCCAGGATAAATATTGCATTCATATCACTATTATTTGCTTGGTTGTTTGCTCTGCCAAAATGTAGTTGGTGTCTAAATGTGCACAAATTCGCTCTTTGTATATCTCTACTGAACAACCTGTGGGTTGTGAACGCTTTGCACCTTTTAGAACTTCATTCAACTCAGCTAAATAAAGCAAAGCTAATTTTATGATATCATTCCTTTCTAATGGCATGCAGATGAGAGCGTTGTTGACCCGGCTTACCCTCGGTTTGTCAGTCAAGGTGGAGGGCAATTAAACTGACCCCACTCTTGGCGTGAGATAGAGTTCAATTCAGCAAAATAAAGGAGGTAGGATCAAGATAAACTTGAAAGACAGGGGAGCACCAAGAGAGAGCGAATATGAAAATGAGCGACACAGAAAGTGGAAATGCCACCCTTCAGGGATCAACCAGAGGAGGGAACGAGACAGCAGGAGAACAGAATAAGAGAGAAGGGAACTGACTGGAATGGATATGAACTGGAAAAGTCAAGGCAGAAAACTTAAAGTAGGAGAAAGAGTGGAGTTAAAGTGAGAGAAGAACCTAAATTTAGACATGGAAATCAGGAGAGAACAGCTGCCTTCTTCCCTCAGGAGATACATTTAAATCAGGTCTGGGTGGCCATGGGGGAGCCTGGAAGAACCTATTCTACTGGCCAATTAGGTGCACTGAACACTGTGAAGCTCTAATATAACCATCATTGTGGCCCCTTTGGCCCCTTAAGTCCCTCTGGATGTGTAGACAGAAACAGGCCTAAACTAAGGGATCGCTTTACTTTTTCACTACAGTAAAGGGACAAAAGAAAAAGAGGAAGATCAACCAGCAATAGAACGTGAAAGATTTTTCTGATTCCTGTTAAATCGAGAACTTATCTAATCATTACACTATTCAAATTTTGTGATTGACATTTGTTGTCTAGAGTTTGATATTTTCTGCTGAATGTTTTAAGAACAAATTAAAATTAATTAATAAATAATTTTTGTCCAGAGCCCAACAGGTGGGTAACAGGTAAGTAGAGGGGATTGAAAGATTTAGCAAAGCACTTTGTTCTTGATTCTTACTAATTCATTATGTGTGTAATGTAGTTAAACACTCTCAGGAATCTTTTAGCAGACCAAAAACTTCTCTTTAAATACTGACAGGTATACTGTAGCAACAATTGCTGACTTTACAGGTGAACCAGTGGAAAATGATTACAGAAAAACTAAACTATGTACACTTGAAGAAGATTAAAATATTGGTAGATTACTACCACTCGCATGCTGCTTCTGATTTTGACTCTATAGTTAATATTTTTATTCCAGTTTTCCTGCTAGTATTGGCTATTCTTATTCTTATTTATAATTAAGATGATGTCACAATATGTGTGTTAGAAAGCAGTCAGTGTATTGTGGGTTTTACCGATATATTTTTTTAAAAGATGAAACGATTAGTGTATTAACATTAACACAGTTAATATTAGTACTTGTAAACAATCCCTGTGTATATTTCCTTGTCAAGGAGGAAACTTTCCTTATCTGTGATATTTCCGAAACGTTGCCAGCTTTTTCATATCCAATGTATTCCATAAGCAGCATAAAAAAATACTATAAAATATTACATAGGATTAAAGTATAGTGTAGGATTAAATTTGATTTCAATTCTTAACAATGGTCACCTTAATTGGCTGCAAATTCAAAGTAGTCCATTTGGATAAGGCTGGGTATTAAAGGTTCTTCATTAACATTAAAAGCTAAAAAATGTTAAATTATTTGAATATTTGGACAGAATTTTAAAATATTTTTTAATGCAGCCAAAATAGTCAAAGCCATATAGTTCCAGCTTTGATGACGCTGAAAATTTAGTTTATCTGTACCTTTTAGCGTTGATACATTTCTAACTTCAATACCACTGGCGATGAAACAGCAGGAGGAAAAATGGGAACATTTGCAGCCTAATAGTCATATTGTGAGGGTGAGTTTGCTGGTGTGCTGTGGGGAGAACAAGACGAGTCATTCTTTCATTTCTTGTATTTCTTATATATTTGAAACTAAACATTTTTAGTAGAGAACCATTTATCTGAAATAATGCACTACATTTTTCCGGTGCCAATTGAATCCGTATAGGTTATATGTTAATAAAAAGCAGATCAAATCAGGTCACTGTCCTATGATTTTAGGTGTTTGATTTAAGATGCTTACATGTCCACGGGGCTTCAATGGGTTTTTGCAAGATGGTTTCTTTGCATTCAAAATCTCACTTAATGTAGTTGTCCAATACAGAGGTTAACTACTAACTTCATTCGAGGCCGGCAAAAAGACGCTAAAATGCATCATACCCATCACTATGTTATCCAAGTGCATGACTGATGAATTCTATCAGAATTAGTTAAGTGGAAAAAAAAAAAAAGTTAAGTGATTTAAAGATGAGTTTTGAAGAAAACATGCAGGCAGATGCAGAAGTATTTTAAATCGACAGATAATGCTTCATACAAAACTTCTATGAATAAAACATATTCCTCCTATAGCTGGGATCCATTTTCCCTCCATTTATCTCTTCTTCCCTCTCTATCTCTCTCATGCATGATTAACCTCGGGAGGCCTTAATCAACACTGGAAATGACCCATGCTCCTTGACTTACCTCTCCCTCTCTTTCCTTTCTTTCATCTCTTCATCTCTCCTCCTTGCTCGTCCTCCCCCACAGTGTCTATGATAGGGCTGGACTCACCTGCTAACCCAGAAGGCAAACACGGTTAGTTTATCTCACCTGTGCAATAAATTACCTTCTGTGAAGAAACCAGGAAAAAAATCGCAGATCATACTGATTCATACAGGGACATTCATTATCAGTGTAAAATTGCATTTTTTGGAAGTTTTTTTTTTTTCTTCCCAAAGTAAATTTTTCTGTCCATGTGCATTATTCAGTTTATCTCCCCTGAAAACCTTCATTCTCACATTTTTTAACATTGTACTTCTGTGGATGGCACAAGGGATAGATTTATGATTATTACTGTTCACTTGTTTCCCAGCCTGCCTCACGCTCACAAATGTATACTCGTACCAAAGTACACAGACTCTGACAACTCTGTGAGCTGTCCAGGGTCCTGACAACTAGAAGGTAACCGCTGACAGCCAGTCACAACAGCGCCTCGTCCGTGGTGCTGAAAACGAATTTGGTTCAGCTTTGAGGTCACGGATGAAATGTATAATTTGACTTGCCGGCAGCTTTTCGCTCACTGGATGCACGCATTAACACACATCAGCATCCGCTCAAGTCCACTGAGGACAGCTTTTAATTGGTCCTCTTCACTGTAGCTAAGGTTTCAATACTTCTGGCTAAACACCCCCTGTGTGTTCAACATTTGGGTCCAATTTAGCACACCATAATCACTGACCGGCCTCCCTGAGCGTTTGCTTTGTAATTAGGGTCTTAAGCCCTTAATTATTTATTTTTTTTATTGCCAAAGCCAAATAAGCCAGATGTATGCCAAATTTCCACCTTTTTTAAACTGTTCTAGAGATAAACTATAGTGTTCTTATGCCTTGAACTCTTCTTACATTTTGCGTCATCATCACCATTCCCCTCAAATGATACTCACACATTTTTACATAATTTTTCAAGCGGAAGAAAAGTGATATGCAGTGTCTATATTCAGCATTATTTATTTCTTTAGAGATAAAAAAATCCAGAGCTTTCTGATAAAAACGTAATTGGTAATGAGACTACCTGGTTGTATTTTTACCTCAGTATAAATGCATCTATTCTGCACAGGCTTCACGTATTAGGAAATTAGTGAAAAAAACATCATCACAGATATCAAGGAAAAGGGTAGATTGGTCAGAGACTTGGTGGACAATTTTTTGTTTAAAGCGATCCACTTCTAAACTCTGATTGCATGTAATGCATATTAAATGCTATGTGAAGTGGAAAACTTACCCTGCACATCACCATGATTACTCCAGGATGGTTACAACTGTATCCTGTTGAGATGCCTTTTATTCCTCAGAGACAGGAGAAGTGATCAGTGTAAATGGAAAGGTGGATTTAGCCAACTGCAGGGGGGTTCTCTTCTGGGCTGCAAAACCGTTTAAATTAGAATGAAGGCTCCCCTTTCAGTAGAACATTGACCCTAAATACACTGACAGTGCAACAAAGATTTGGTTCAGATCAAAGCATGTCCATATGTTGGAATGGGTCAGTCAAAGTCAAGACCCAAATCTACTTGATGATCTGGGGCAAGAGTTGATGGCTGATATTTACACGATCTCTATTCATTGTGAGTAAGCATGAGCTATTTTTGCAGGTAATAATGGGCAACAATTGCACTGTCTAATGTGCAAAGCCGGGAGAGACTAGCAGCTGTAATTGCAGCTAAACATGATTTCACAAATGATGAACTCAGGAGGTTGATTGCAATTTTTACATTACATTATTTTTACCGGTATGTAAAAATAATGTAAAAAATATGTATTCTTTCATATTGTACCTCACAATAACACACTATTTAACCTTTCACATAAAATCCTAATAGAGTACTTTGAAATTTCCGATTGTTATGGTGAAAAGTTTAAAAGGTTTTGGAGGAATAATTTCTCCTGCAAGGCACTGTAGATATTTCTAAGCTTTAAGATGCATACGTCATGCACATTTTTGAATTTTTTGACTCATCAGTCCTTAACTTCATTAAATGCATTTTACCAGCAAGGCAGCCCTTGCTGGTACTTCTGAAGCCCTACTTCTGTTTCTCTCTTTCGCAATTCATCTTCATCTCCTCTTTCTTGTTGTGTCATGTTGCAGGTATCAGTGGTCAGTATCCTCTGGTTCAAAATGTCACCGTGACACAGGGCGGAACGGTAAACCTGACCTGCCGCGTGGAGTATAATGACAACACCTCCCTCCAGTGGTCGAACCCAGCACAGCAGACCCTTTTTTTTGGGGACAAGAAAGGTGAGTTGAGGACTCACAACACACATTGACACCCACATGAGAGGCACAGAGTATTCCCTGTTTTAATGTAGGCTTGTGTTGGCAGATAAACTGACAAAATAATCCTTTCTTTTTCATGTGTGCTTGTCACTGGAACAAAGCATGAGATATAATGTTTGTGTTTTCTGGTGCGTTTTCTATTTTCACAACAGGGGTATCGCAGTCCAGACAAAAACACACATGCCTTTAAAAATCTGTAAAGCCTTTCATCTGGTGATGGGTGGTATGAGGCTATTATTATCCATAGCTTATCCTTAAATCTCACATGGAAAGAGAGAATAAAAGGAGAGCGACCAATGGAGATATAGAATGAGAGAGAGAGACATTGAAGCATGCAGAAATACCCAGATGAAGAGAGGTTGAGGGTGAGAACTGATATGACCATCTCTGTTTCGCACAGAGCAGAGAAACCAGTGGGGGGTTAACATGCCACGAGCAATGTAAGGAGTTCAGTGTTTTTTTTTTGTGCATGACCCATTTTATCTCAAAGTAGGAAATGTTTATTGGAGCACATCTGTGAAGATAGCAAGAGCAGCTTTAATGCCTTCCATCATTTTGTGTTTAATCCTTAATCAGTCTGAAGGTAGACTGTGTTTTAAAAGCTGAACTCACAAAACTGTTTTATTTTTATTTGAATAAAAGCATCCTAATCTGAAATTTATAGTGTCATTAGACAATGGATCAACAGGTCATCCCACACCCTAACAGTCATGTATTCTAGCTTAAATAATAAAATCCAAATCAGACAAGCAGTGCATTGAGCAGTTAAATATCTTGCTAAAATTATTAAATTACAGATTTTGTGTTTCACATTTAATTGTTTGGAACTGTTGGTCCTGCTATTTCCAAAATTTTTAATGAAGCTGAATTCCAAATATAAGAGGTAAACGCAACGTAAAAAATAAAATAAAGCAAAGGGACATTTTGTAGACTTCTTCCAAACGTAAAGAATTTTCATTTCTTCTCTGTTTTTTTATTCATCTTTTGGTTCCAAATTAAAGTATTTTTTTCTCATAAACATGCTATAATTTCTAGAAATGTATTCATCCCAAACAAAATCACAAAAAAGGACCAAAACAAATTCTGACCGAAGCATTTCCGACACAAATACTGGCTTAACAATACTTATGTTACCAGGTGTATTTGCAGATATTACACTGTGTATAATAATTGTCAGATAACATCCTAAAAACTCTACAATTCAGTAATAATCTTGCTCCATTACCTGACAAATACCCTTCAAAGTGACACACAAGCAAAGAGCAGATGTGACTGGAAGAAACCAGCAATTTAGTGGCTAATAGGTACAAAGGGTTTATTTTTGACCTTTCACACCATCTTAGTGAAGTCCTCATAAATGGAATTCATGGCACTTATTTTGTCAGGTCATAGCACCTGAAATAATTGTGCCCTCTGCGTCTCTCAGCTGTATTAGTTGAGTGTAATAGAGTATGAATCACACTCTCTTATAAGTGTCTGGATTAAGCACATATGGGATTTACACAGTCTTCTTCCATTATCTTGCAGCCTGCTGGGGTCCTCGTCCAGTTCCGTGTGTGTCCATTTCACATGTTTGTGATTGTGTCCAACTGTTTCATTGCTGGTGTGGATTTTTTGCATATTGGAAGCAAACGCATGCAGCTGGAAAGCATTTTGGTTCACATTTTCACTTACATGCCTCTTTTCTGAAAGAGCGGCACTAAAAAGCTCCATTGAACATCAAATTCAACAGTTGATGTTCTCTGCAGGTTATTCCATATCACACCAGGGGTCGAGCTTGGGGGTCTATTTCATGGCATTTCCAGTGCTGAGCTCTGAGATTGAAAATGAAAAACTTGCCAAGGACTCTTGTATTATCAGAATAGCAAAGGGGATAGTACTGAGATTCCTGAACTGTAATGCTCCTTTTTTTGGGTTGGTGATGTATTTATGTCTTTGTGCGTGCGCGCGTGTGTGTGCGCACGTGTGTGTGCGCACGTGTGTGTGTGTGTAAGTTCTTTGGGAGTTCTCTTTCTGATCATGGTGAGTTCAGATGCACATGGTGATGGGAGCATAGAGATTATGAATGTTTTCAAAAGTGCCACAGGCGATGTGAGAAGAGAACGCAGTCTCAGCTGCAAGCGCCTTTGAGCACATGAGATTTCAGATTAATTTTCTTTGCTGTCTGTTGGGAGGAAGAAGATGGGGGATTAGGCCAAGCTGCTCGAAAATACCATCCAAACTCACCAAGTTTCTGCATATTTTCTTCTGTAGCAAAAAGTTTCTTTGCTTTTGCAGTGTAGCAAACATGAACTATTTTTTGTCATAAAAATGAACATTTGATGTGTTATTGGCAGCTGTTAATAATTTCATGGGTGAAGTAGAAATTGTTGTTGCTGCATAAAAGTTCTACATTGCAATTGACTTTGTCAAAATGTAAGGATTTTTTCGAATAAAAACTGAAAATGCCTTAAAAAGCTGTTTCTGAACATGATACTGCACAAATGGATCCCCTTCAATATGCAGGAGGACAGAGGACACTTGTAAAAATAGACTCGGGTGTCTCACAATGACTTAGGGACTAAGACTAAGAACTAAAGACTTAAGACAAAAACTGTTCCAGCAAGCAATGTGTCATGAAATTAATTTTGAAATTATTGTTTGGGTCTTAGTGCTGAATTGATCTGCCACCCACCATGGAGTAGCATAAGACAGCTCACCTATATTTGATCAGTGCTTATTGAACATCGGTAAATTGAAAGAACTTGCTGTGGTTTTTCCCACATGCTCTCTGTTAAAGACCAAACTCACTCCTGCAAAAATAATAGGTCTTCCCAGGCCCAACCTCACTGTACTTAATAACAATGCCACAAGGCAAGGTCATTTCAATTGAACAGGAACTCCCACACCTACTTAATGAATCTCTAGCCACACTGCCCGCAGGATGTAGGTCCAGGACAATGGCTCATATGGAAGAAACCTGATTCATTACATAATTACATCCCTTGACAACAGACCACTTTAGAATAGGATCACAACTGTTTTATATATAACATTGGATGTATAGTGTCGTTTATTGCTGTTGTATTGTGCCTGTTGTGAATCGTTTATGTCAAGCATGCAGGAATGTGGAAAAAAAAAAAAAGATGTTCTTGGTGACAATTAATTTTAATTTACTGAGTTTACCATAAGATTCAGTCTTCTGTTGACTCTAAAGTACTGGGTGCATGTGTCATATTGTAAACTAAAAAAACATGCAACCCCTGTTAGTGCAGTATAGTGCCCCGTAAAGCATCAGTATAAGTATATTGTTTTTTCAAACACAAACTCACACAACTATCTACATTACAGCTCTTTGAGTGTGCCAGTTTTACGGCTGTTGTTGTTTAATGTCAGGGCTCAGACCCACCTCCAAGTCATTTCGTCGGATGAAAGAGATGCCTCTTGTCTCCCATCCTCTCAAAGGCACTGACTGTGGAGAGTTGTTTGAATTTCAAATAAGTCATTGTCCCAAAAGCAGCCAATTTTGTCCTTTCCATCACTCTCCACTGAGGAACTTAAGCTGGGCTTTGACAGACCGAGGGAGATGAGCACTGGGCAAAAGGGATTCTCTTTTTTATACGATTCAAAAGAGGCTAATATCTCGTTACAAATTGCTCTTTTGGTTTCATGTAATTCAGGACTTGATAATAGCTTTATTTCCTGGATGGAGAAATTTTCCAATGAGGCATAATTAGAATTTCTTTGATATTCTTATACTAGAAAGAGCCTATGTTTAATTACTTTTCAGGCTAAATTTACAGACTCATTTAGCAGACCCATCATGTTTGAGCACCAGCTGAGGTGTGACACTGAAATTACTTATTCAGCTTAGCTACAGTAATTTGCTGTCCATTTATTCACATGATTACTCTTTTAACACTGACATCTGTATTTTCATTTTCAGTCTGTCTTGTTCTTTTTTTCCCAGCCTTGGTTAGCTGTCCACCTCTCTATTCAAGAGACTGGCAGGGTTGTACCATCTTTGCTTGCTGTCTCCAGACACCAACCAAATATTTGTTGGAAATTAGTTCATATGTATTTACCATTTAAAGGGTTACATTTTGAAACAACTTATTTTGCCTTGACAAGTTGCAGATGTATGTACGTATGGATGGATGGATAAATGCACATACTTTCACACACTCGCATGTGTGATACACACAAAATGCTTAAAAAAGTGAAAAATGAAAATATTTCAAACATGCAATAATTATTGTGTGAAATAAAACAGCAGAAAGTGTCATACGAAACATTATTTTGAATAAAAATGACAAAAGTAGCACAAAAATACATTGATTTAAACACGGGCCCAAAAAGACTCACTCATGGAAGACTGTATAGTCAATATGTCATGCATCAGATTGTTAAGAAATATCAGTTACATTTACTATAGCACAATGACATGCTATGATTTATAATCACAAAGTGATTGTTTGTTATGACACAAACATAGCAAAACAGTGGAAAGAATAGTAATAAAAATATACCAGTAATTTGTGAAAATAGTTTATTCACACAATTTTACTTTCACTTTTTTTCTGAACATATTGAACTTTACTATGTGAGATATTGAAAATGAATGCATCCAAACAACTTTTTCAGTTTACTCACTCTGCAATGACAATGCAAGATCTGATCCAAAAGGTTTACTTTACAAAGGTTAATGTTACTTTAGGTTATTTATTTGAATCCTATGAAAATAATAGGTTCTCCTGTATAATAAAATTTATATTAAAAATAGCAATAATATGCTAATGATGTTGAAAGAAAATCTAAAATGCCCTCTGTGCTCCACTTACGGTCATCTCTGCCAGTTTGCAGTGCCATCTGCAGATTGATTGGATCTGTTTAAACATTAAGATTAGTGTTATGGGTGAACAGCTAAGGGCCAATTGCTTGATTTTTGGCCCCCTGAGCTGCTGAATATGAAACCATTCAAG